TTTTCCCCCTTGAATTGTTCGCTGCCCTGAGTCCTCCCGGAGAAGGGCGGCATACAAATAATAAAATTCTATTCTATTCTACTTGCATTTGCATACTTTCAAACTGGTAAGTGGGAAGGAGCTGGGGCATTAATGGGAGCTCGACCCGTTGCACAGCACTCAGATCTCGAATCTGGATTGTCAGCTGGAAGCTCAGCATCTTTAACTGCTGAGCCATCATACCCTTTCTTCAGCTAGAAAGCATGACTAATATTTATGAGAAAGCAGTTGTGTTGTTAGTTGAGCAATGTTATATTAAATAAAGCAGGAAGTAAATATTGAAATTAGCACATACTGAGCAAAGAGAACATTGCAATTCATGTAAAAACAAATGTAGGCTATTTTGTATATCATGCATTTTTTTATTTTTATGTTCGGTTTAAATCTTTTGCATGTTTACACGGAAGTAACTCCTACTGAATAATCCATAGGCATTTTATTCTATTCTTTATTCTGGGTATAAGCCCAGAATTGCTTCACATCAAATTAGTTTCTCTCTATTGTACTCAGAAAAATAGTTTGTTAACAATTTGGAGTGAAAACTGGGGAAAGTATCATCATGTAGTTATTTTATTTTATTCGCAAATATGTAATACTTTTTAAACAAGATACTATATTGGGAAGTTAGATTCTGTCTTCTTCTACTCTTCAAAAACATCTTACATCATAGTTCAAACAAATTAAAAAACAAAATTATGTAAGAAACGTATTTCCAACCTGACAAAGCTCTATTTAAAATGAGCATGGCTCATATAGAATAACATTATTTGATTTACCAATGAATCCTAGAATCTATCTAAACTGCCAGAAGGAAATGTTCCTGGATTTGAAGTAGTTTAAAGGTTATAAATACAAACTCCAGTTAATGGCTCCAGTAAACAATTCAATTTACTGACCATTCCTTAATCATTTAACAATCTTAATGTCATCTGACTTTTAGCTGTGGCGTGCTGAACAGAAATCACACATCTTTGCGCCCTAACTTCTGCTTTTCAAACAGATGCTGTGTAAGTGGACAATCTTTCATTATTCCTATTTCACTATATCTGTTGGATGCATAACTGCTTGTAAAACCCCCCTCCCCCCAATCACCTCCATAGTATTCTGGAAGTAGAAAACTTGCATGGTCCTGATGCACTGGGATCAAAGTTGAAAGGTCAGAGGGAAGAGATGTAACAGAAGAAGGCACAACTGAGCACAGTGAAGAAAGATTAGCAGGACAAACCAAGCTAGCAAGCTGACATCATTAGGGAGGATACTAAACATATGGAAAGACCAGAAGTGCTTATCTATGAAAGACATTTCTTATATTATACCGCCATATGTGGATAAGGAATTATAGGCTTTCCAATGGTAAAATGACAAGAGAAAGCTTATGCAGAGCAATATTATGTGCAAAAAAAAATCAGTACAGTACTGTACTTTTTACACTGAATGGTTTTCAGACATTAGAAACTCATAGTCCTGAAAATAGAAATTTAATTATACTAGCTAATTGTTCATTACAATGATTGAACATTACATAAGATAAATTGAGTAACTGGAAAGGAACCAATATCAACGAAATCTAATTTTTTTTCCAGGCACCTACTGCTAGGAAGGGTATATGTAGGCCAACAGCTGGCATGATATATGAGCATATTAATATTTAATGTCTTAATTTTAAGTATTTCTAGTCCTTCTCCTCAGGCTGGATCCAGATCATACTCACTAGGTAATGAATTCCACTTCATTCTGTAAGACTTACTATTAAATAAACATACATAATATTTATATTATAAATATCTAAATATAGTAAATTACTAAAAATGTGAGGGAGGGCCATTTATGCTGTTTTGAGCTCTTGAATGCAAAGGATATTGACTTCTCAATAAATATTTACAAATATTTCAAATAAATAAATGCTAAAAAGCTCTCAATTTGTTTGAGTAAGATATTTAAACCATGTTAAGCGATCTTTCATCCATGTCCTAAAACACAATGAGAGTAAGCATACTCAGTAGGCCTAGAGTGCAGCCTTTTTAATGACACACAGAAGATAATAGAATGGTAGTAGAACTGACAATTTTGCAGGAATGCATAGAAAAGGGTCAATTATGTACTTAAATCTAGATACCTACAGTGTAGAGGAACGCAAACTAAAGCATCTCCAACAGGATACTGCTTTCTTCTATATAATAATAAAGAAAAGTGAAGCAATTCCGTGACCCGTCAAAACCGCGGACAACAAAAACGCGCTCGACGAAAGCGGGTACCTGACGTCATCAGCAGCGCGACGAAAAAAATTAAAAA